TTATATCTGAATCATTAATGTACTACTGTAGTAAGGGGAAAATTCAGAATTAACTGCATTAGAGTTCAATTTGCTCATGTATGGATAAGCATTTTAACGTGACACAGCAGGGTAAGTAGACATTTGACTGAAATAGTGAGTGTAAAATTACAAAGATTCAGAAGAATTGGTCAAATCCATTATGATTTTGTGCTCATACAAGCAGTGCGCATTCAACTTAGCTCTGTGTGTCCTCCAAGGTTGGGAGGAGGTGGAACCCATGTCTTCATGACTGGAAGATTCAAGTTTCTTTAGCAATCTTAAGTTTTCTTCACATTGGACAATCTTAAACAGTTATGTACTTCAGGAATCATTCTAGATAACATTCTCAAAGACATATATAGTAGAGAACAGATTAGTGGATGAGTGACAAGAGTTATAGGGTGTGGGGTTATGTGATAGTCACAAAAGAATCCTTGTTATTGTAATATTCCTCATCCCTGTTATGATGAGGGAGAATAAGCACTAACAAAATCTAATTTAAGGACAAAAATTAGTGTTTATAAAATTAGTGAATTTGAATAGCATCAGGTGATTAGACCTTCTATACTCAGAAGCTTTGTAGTCTCCAAACTCATGCTGAAATGTCGTCCCCAATAAGATAGAAATAGTACAGAGAACTTTTAGGAGGCCATTGCATCATGAAAGTACATTTCAAGGTTAGTATTGGTGTGTGTATGTATGTATGTATGTATATACGTATGTATGTATGTATGTATGTATGTATGTATGTATGTATGTATTATTAGGCTGGTCTTTTTCTACCATGTGAGACACAGTTAGAAGGTTCCATCTCTTAATCAGAAAGCAATACCTCTCCAAATGCCAATATATTGCTGGCTACTTGGCCATGGATTTCCAGAGGTTTTCATAAACCTCCCACTTTGTGTCATGTTGATGTGGCTGTTCAAACCCAGTCAGGGTATGAATGTATCTTTCTGACTGTGATTTTGCAGGAGGTGACGTGATACCTTTAAGGGAAGTAGGTAATACCCTAAGGAATGTCTACTATTCCTCACAACTCTTAAAATAGTTTTTAAAAAAACTCTCTAAATGTCATGTAAAGAGGAATTGATAGTGAGCATGGAATATTCAGACTTACTGGAGCCCTGTGTGTCTGCTCAGGTAAGTGATGAATGAATTAGTACCCACCACGCTTCTTTTCTGGTCTTCACTTATCAGGAGAGAAAAACTGAGACTGACATGATTAGAAGACTATGGCAATGAATTCAATATTATTTGATTGCATTTGTCTTTTGCCTCCCACTTAATCAGTACCATATAGTAAACAGGGTGGGAAGACAACAGGGATGAACTGGAATCTGGACAAGGAAAATAAATGCAAGCACTCTGTTGGGTTTTTGGATATGTGATCTCCATAAATTTCTATGAATGAGTGAAAACTAAAGTATCAGGCACTTGCCTGTTGGGAGAGGGACACAGGTTTTATTCGGGGACAGTAGTAGGTATGGTGTCTTTGTGAGAATTCTAAGCACAGGATGGAGAGGATGAATTGCATGACATTAAAGTAATAAAAGCTAGTTCCCATGTTCTAAGAAATACCTTAAACACATTGGAACTTGGAAGTATTACTTTTATTTCTTGCAACCCATCTAAATGTTTTGTTTCCTTATCTACTACCATTTTTTATTCATAGAAGTTAAGCTGTTTGTTAAATAAAACCAGGAAATCACTTCCTGGGCAGGAGTTTGAATCTAGATGTTTTAAATTCTTAAGCTCTCTCTGCACTGTGAGAAATGCTTGAGGAGGGCAGACCACAATGTCCACCTAAATTGTAAACGTTATATTACCTAAGGCTTCTCATGCAGTTGAATGTTGCTTTTATATTTGTATTTGTTCTCCCACAGGAGAATGGTAAAATGTCTGTTTCATTTGCTTGTCCCATGTTTACTGGATAGCATGCATTATTGGGATTTAGTGCCCATGTCTCTTACTTAAATATGCCATGATGACATCTTTTTATTTACTTAAATATACCATGATGGCATCTTTTTTATTTGTATTAGGTTTTTTTTTTTGTTTTACAACAACTGGCAGACAATCCCCTCCGTTATATTTGCTAGTTCTCAGCCTTGGAAGCATCCTTCACTCAGCTAATACAAACAAATAAATAGCACGTGTCTAAACTTACATGTTACATTAGCTGCAGCTGCACAATCTACCTGCACTGGAATCCCTAAGCCTCCACACGTATGCAAACACAATAGACAAACTGTCTTGACAGACAATCCCACAAATTATAGGGGCTGCTCATCCTCATTATCTGATGATTTTTCTAAACCTTAAGTTCATAGGTTCTCTTTGAGCATCCATTTAAAGTTGACACATCATGCCTATGATCTCTTGGAAGTCAATTTCTTCACAGTCCATCACAATCCACTTACTTCCTAAAGCAAGGACAAGCAAACAAAGCCTTGACCAGCAATTTGTTTTTAACGTAGAAGTAAGGCTGCTCTTCCTAATGGGCCAACATGAACCTTACTTTTCCAAGGATCTTAATGATTTCGTTGATAATAATACTTCAGATTTAATTTTTAGAGACAATTTTAAACAGGAAACCCTCTACATAATATTCCATATCCATCAAAATGCTGTCTGAAGCCTGACTAGTAGGTCCCATAGGAACACTAAAAAGGTGGGTGGTAGCAGGGAATTTAAGGGTGCTTATGTGATCCGATTCTCCGTTGAATCAATAGATTTTTCTTATCCTTTGCCTTTCTAACCTAACTACCCTAGATGCAGATTTAACTTCTCGCCACTCTCGCCATCTAGTGGCTGTAGATGTTAAACGCTTGGCTTTAAGGAAGACACATAATGACTGGGGGCAGGGTACAAGAAGACCAAAATCGGTTGGCCACAACAATTTTCCTGTCTCTCCTCACATCACTCACCCTTCACCCGGACACCTTTTCCTCCTTTGGCCATTTTAGATATGCGCAGGGATGCGCAAAGAGCATGAAGAGACACACACTCTCAGAGACGCACGCCCCTGCACTCTGACATTTTAAAAAAGGGTCTACATTCTCCAGTCATTTGCAAAGGACAGGGGAAAGGAGTTGTGGCAAGACCTAGCCAAGGAGACTTGTCTGACTTTTTCAGCAAGTTGGGCAGGTAATATATTAACCTCAGTAACGTTGACATCCGTTTTGAACACAAAAATACATTTTAAAAAAATTAAAGAAAGAGAGGAATCACTTAAAAATTCTGCCGCGGAGCTTTGCAGGTTTTGCGACCCACTCGCCCCCAGAAGGCAACCAATTCCTTTGCGTTCCGCTCCGTTCTCCCTCCTTCCTAGCTTGTCTCGATTTTTTTTTTTTGCCCCCCTTTCCCACGCTCATCTGGAACCGGGGCTCCGGAGGCAGCAGCACTAAGCCACCGGTCCCCTTCCTCCTCTCCTCCACCCAACAG